TATTTACTTTCAGCCTGGTAAAGGGAAACCTGGTCCGTCGAATGCCTTGGATTTACCAGTGATAGCCTATTTGAAAAGAGAGCGCAGTCGGCCATGTCCATTTTGTCAACGTTGGATGGATTACCATGTTTTGATCGACCACATGCAATACTGCTGTGTTCAAGAGGTGAGTGCTTTGCACGATATAGCATACATCCATTCTCGCGGAAGTTGAAGTCACTTGGGCTACATCCTAGACCAGGCTCTTCTGCAGCCTCCTCTGGCTAGGATTTCCCCAGAATGTGGAAGACCGCGTTCATACTTTAGGAATGTGGAGAATCCGCGATTTAAGGAAACTACCGCTACTGCATACTGTAGGCTTCTAACAAGGGAAGTCCGCCAACTTACCATGGAACTTTGAATGGAGACCTGGGTAGATCGATAGAGTCTATAAGGTTATTTACAAATATAATATAGAATGGAGGCTTGGTGGTGAGCTGTGAAGCATAAGCGAGGAATCGCATACGTCGAATCGAGTCGTCGAACGTCGAACCTTACCACTGAACCACCACGACTCGATTCGACGTATGCGATTCCTCGCTTATGCTTCACAGCTCACCACCAAGCCTCCACCCTACTGCACCATTACAAACTTTACCTGCTCATAAGTTGCTTGTGAAATGCAGGTTGCAGTTTTGCTATCTATATTTGTAAATAACCTTATAGACTCTATCGATCTACCCAGGTCTCCATTCAAAGTTCCATGGTAAGTTGGCGGACTTCCCTGGTCAGTCGTACACCTGTAAGGCTAAATGAATCACCAGAGAAGAAAAAGCAAAAAGAAAATCATGGAGAACGCCCCAACTGAGGACCTGGAAGGCTACCTGGATAGGTTCTCTGGACAGGCTCGCCTAGCCAGCAGCAGGACATCCTACCGCCTCTGGCTCACTAATCGTTATTTCGCATCATGCAATGTTGATAGCATGTCACAGTAATAAAACGATAATCTGGTGTAAAAACTTAACTCGTGACAGAAAATAGCTCTTGCTTTTGGGGTGGGCGCGGCAAGAGGGCGGAACTGCCAAACATGAGGACCGCAGCGTACTCTTTACTGTAAAGCTGCGAAAGTGGAACAATTTTAGAATCTGTGGTCAACCAGACTGCTTGTATAAGGAAAGACGCCTACGAAGGTCTGCTTGAGCGCAGTGACTGCCTTTAAGGCGGCCGCAGCACCCTCTTCACTCATTCTGGACCAGCGAGAGGGTGTAATCTTTGAGACTACTTGATGGGACTACTTGGGCAGGGGAAGAATCCTACGATTTGGTGGAATGGCGAACCGGGAGGGTCTTGAACCTGAGCAGCCAGTTGCAATTTTCTCAAGCATAGATTGAGCCACAGTGTTTCCACAACGGGCAGGCGGGATAGATTAGATACTCCATATATAGAGATAAGGGAAATCGAGAAATCGATGATCTTTAGCTCTGGACAGTTCTCTTATTTGTATGATTGGTTGATCTTTCATTCTGCTTAGTTCTGTTTGTAATGTACACCGTTGCAGGTTGGAGAAGATGCTATCGGTAGCTCGTCGGCCAAGGATCCGCTGAGTTTTGAATCTCCTCCGAAAACCGCGCAAAAGGATGGTGTTCGTCAGTGTATCCTCTGCAAACGTTGGATGGATTCCAACTATTTGGTCAACCATATGCGGGACTTTCACGTTGTGGAGGTCAAAGAGGCTGTTGAAAAGGCCAAAGCTGAAAAGAGGAAACGAGCTGCTCAGCCTGCTATCGAAACGTATGCAACATTTATGAAGAAGAAGAGGCGTTTTGTTGAACCTGAAGAAGGAGACATTGATATGAGATGCCCTATATGTGAACTTAATTACCCATCTCAAGAAGACCTGGTCACACATTGTCGCATTTATCATGGGGAGAGGTATGCCCTTGTGCACAGACGAACGTTCAAAAGTGCCGCAGATTATAAGGTGAGTGTCAAGCTTTCATTGTGGTGGTAATCATTCCTCCCCCAAG